TGTCTCCTGCTGGGTGTCAGGTATGGTCCTCCCTAATCAAGACTGTCTTTTTTGTTCTGAGGTTCAAATGAAGGGGAAAGGACTACTTTGTTTGTATTGGCCCATGTCTTGTATTCAGGTTCTGTGCTTTCAAGCCGTTGATTTACATTCACTGCAAAAACTCAAAATATTTTAAATAGAAAAGGTTTAGATATTGAAAAAGATAAAACTGTGTCATCAGATGCTGCAAAGACTGGGGGGGGGGGCCTTAAAATATTTAAGGAATAACCAACAAAAGAAACACTTCTACCATCTCACTGACATTTAGATAATAAAATGTCAGCTTTGTTGGAAGAAGCCCCGGTCACCGGCTTCATCGGGTAGGATTAGAATTTCCCATCTCGAAAAGGTCAAAGTGCACGGTCCCGTTTGCTTTGGCTGAAGTTCAAAGTTTTCCCTGATCCCAACCCTGCTGAGACTTTGCATGCAAGGGTGGCTGCTAAATGTTAATCATATTGAAGGAAATGGGACTGCTTTGATACAAAATGAGGCCCGCTTACATAAAATGATACTCGACACCATGACACCTGCGGACATGTTGCTTGCTGCCCAGAATTGTCAAAACAAGCCCTACCCCGTGGCAATAACATTGCTCTGACAGACGTCAGCAGGCTATAAGGAGATGAACATGTCTGAAATAGCATCTTCTCTTTCTTTCGTGAATTAATTAATTAAACCCTTGAATACAAAGTAATTGTTATAGACAATGCTGGATGTATTGAAACTGTTTCACATATTTGTTTGCATTGCCAATTTTATGTGGTTTTACGTGCTAGATATTTGTTGTGTCCGCTGACCGCCACCAGGGGCCAGCGAATACCCCAGAGCTTGACTCTGAAAGAACAATGGGACCTAGGCTCCTGGTACCTCCACTGGGGGGACCAATGGGACCGTGGCGGGAGATTTAAACCTACCAACGGGACCTAGGGGTGTGTCCCCGGGTGTGCATATAGTTGGCCAGCCGGCCGTTTGTCTTTGTTGTGTACCAGTAATGCGTGCAGGGTATCATGCGTGCCTTAGCGGGTCTTCCATGCGGCCAACCCACTACACAATAATATTTAAATCCTATCCTAGCCAACATGACGAACCTTCCTGCGCCGTCTTTTAAATGACTCTGTTCCGGAAATATCAATGATTTTTACAATCAGCGATAAAGCTACATCAGGAAAACTTCCAATGAGTAATTGTTTTAAGCAACCTTATGTTTTATATGTCTGGCAATACATGGTTTTAAATGTATATTTCTTCTTATAGTAATCCTTTTAAAGGTATTTTATGCCAATAAAGGTCAACTGAGCTGAACTGAACTGAACACAAGGTAAAGAACACCTTGATCCAATGTTAGTCGGAACAACCGACTTGGATAAAGCAAAGTGGTCCAAACTCACAGACAGCTTCTTAGCGTAGGACTGTCTTGCAAAGATACGAGGGAAGTTCCTGGGGCAGCAGTGGTACTGAAGATTCAAAGATTGCCCACACAAATGAAGAGTCACTCATAAAATCTGAAGAAGTAGACTCTAGTCCACTCCACACACACTTATGCTAGAATATAATTTTGCTAGTCTTTCAGGGGCCAAAAGGACCCCACTTTCCCTTGATTAGGGTTCTCAGCACGGCCTTGGCAAACACTGGGAGATTCTGAGGGCAGCACCTGGATGTGACAGCACTTCCAGGTGACGCTCTAGGGACTTTCCTAATCTCTATGATAAAGACCATAGAGATATGGGGAAATTCCTAGAATCTCACGAGGATGGCCATGTACGTTTTTTCTACTGCTACTCAGGTTCTCAAGGGCGGGGGATCGGGGCCAAGGGCAGGTGTTTGCCTGCAATGAGAGGGCAAAAGGCCATCCCAGCCCTGCTGCTGCACACTTTTGGAAAGTGTGAAAGAAGAAGAAGAAGAACAGAAGAAGAAGAGATTGGATTTATACCCCATGGCCCTTCACTACCCAAAGGAATGTCAGAGTGGCTTACAAACTCCTTTCCCTTCCCCTCCCCACAACAGGGTTGCCAGCTCCAGGTTCGGAAATACCTGAAGATTTTGGGGGTGGAGCTTGAAGAAGAAGAAGAGATTGGATTTATACCCCGCCCTTCACTACCCGAAGGAGTCTCAGAGCAGCTTACTAACTCCTTTCCCTTCCCCTCCCCACAACAGACACCCTGTGAGGTAGAAGAAGAAGAAGAAGAGATTGGATTTATACCCCGCCCTTCACTACCCAAAGGAGTCTCAGAGCGGCTTACAAACTCCTTTCCCTTCCCCTCCCCACAACAGACACCCTGTGAGGTAGGCGGGGCTGAGAGAGCTCTGACAGAAACTGTTCTTTTTCAAGGACAGCTCTTATCAGAACTACGGCTTGCCCAAGGTCATCCAGCCAGGTGCAAGTGGAGGAGTGGGGAATCAAACCCGGTTCTCCCAGATTAGAGTCCGCGCACTTAACCACTACACCAAACTGACCTCCTCCAAGAGTGAGGGCCAGTGTGGTGTAGTGGTCAGGAGTGCCGGGCTAGTGTCTGGGAGACCCAGGTTTGAATCCCCACATGTGCCATGGAAGCTTGTTGGGCGACCGTCAGCCAACCACATTTCCTCAGCCTAACTTACCCTCACGGGGTTGTTGTAAGGGTAAAATGGAGGAGAATGATACAAGCCACTTTGGGGGCCCTGTGGATGGAAAGGTGGAGTATAAATGAATGAATAAATAAAAACAGCTAGCAGAAGAGAAAAAGTTTTGTATATTATGACTGGGTTTTTCCCCCTCTCCCTCACATATTATGCTTACTCTGTATGTCGGTCTTAAGACCGTAATATAAACAGTAACTAAACACATGTATAAAGAAGAATCAAGTGTCCGCTGTACACGGATTGTATGTGTTCACTGTAACTTGTAAATAGCTGCTGAATAAGAATTGGGAAAGACTGTCACTTTGTAGCAATTCTCTACAGGACCTAGTGATAGAGTAGGGATGGGTGTTTTGCAAGCCTGCTGGGATTCAGAAGTTATTATGGAAGGAAGAAAGGAACGGGCTAGAAAGCCAGTGTGGTGTAGTGCCAAACTGGAGCTAAGGAACCCAGATTCAAATCTCCAGTCAACCCTGAAGTTTTCAGGGTGACCTTGGGCCACTCACTGTCTCTTAGTCTATCTTATTTCACAGAGTGATTGTGAGGATAAAATGGAAAAGGGAAGAACCAAATATACCACCCTTGGAGAAAGAAGGGGGTAGAAATGTGGTAGACACCCTAGAATCTGCGGTCAGATGGGGCCGAAAAAATGAGTAGATACAGGGTCAGTGAGTGCAGTTGATAGGCAACAGGTACAGGAAATTGAAAAAGATGTGTCAGGTTGTATTTGCGGAAATCATTATCGCAGAATGTGGCAATAGCCAGAAATCCTGTTGTGGATGGTCAGTATTCATGTATTAATAGTATTCGTGTATTAATGGCTAGTAGCCATGGTAAATAAAATGGACCTTTCAGTTTTAGAAGCCATATAACCCCCAATGCTAAATGCTGCTGACAAACAGTGGTTGATTCCTTTCAAGAAGCTCCTGCTTGGCTGCAGTTGGAAGCAGAATGCTGGATTAGTCTCCAGCAAGGAGGTTCTTATATGTCTTAATGGCAGAGCATTACACCAGGGCCTGATCGTGGGCTGGGGTTCTTTGGGATATAAAATAATCTGCTCTTGTTTCCCAGGCATGTCCCTGACACGCCCCCTGGGCTCTTTACTGCCGGAGCTCCGCTCCTGTGCGCTCCTGCAGGAAATGACCCCTGCCAACAAGTATCTCTGAGGAGGGTAGTCCATAACCAGAGTGCCACAACAAGAAGGTCTGCCGTTGGTGCCCACCTGCCCAGTCTCCAAACGCAGAAACACCTAGAGCAGGGACACGGACGATGACCCCAATAGAAAGCAGATTTATGCTGGAGAGGGCAGATACACTGATCCCAGTTGCTATCATGAGAGTTGAGAGTTCTCCCACTAGAAATGTCCGCTCCTCTGTTGCCTCACACTAGAGCTGGATTTTTAAACTCTTGCTGAGCAAATCACACTGATGAAGCACATTCTGCTTTGGTTTCCTCCGTGGGCCTCATACCTGGTGGTGAACATGACTGAGGAGGAGGAGGAGTAGAAGAAGAAGAAGAAAAAGAAGAGGAGGAGGAAGAAGAGGAGGAGGAGATTGGATTTATACCCCGCCCTTCACAACCTGAAGGAGTTTCAGAGTGGCTTACAGACT